GGTGCTATGATGTTACTGATGTTGAACTTTATTTAATTCATAAGGTTAGTTAGTAGAGCTGCCAACCGTCCCGTAAAAAGACTGAATCGTCCCGCATTCAGAGAAATTATTACGCGTTTCGTGTTGAGCTGAGAGGGGACGCAGTTTGTCCCGGACTTCAGCTAGAATGAAAAAAGACACAAAGGTGGAGTTATTCTTTGTCTTTGCTGCACAGCTGCCTCTTCTTCTCTCATTCTCCCCCCCCCTGTTGCTAGTCAATCATGAAACTGATCAATGATCAGCTGATCGGCTTTTCTCTCTTGTTTGTTTATCGCCCACTTTGCGCCGAAAAGAGAAAACCGCCGGATGTCGCACTAAATAACAGCAGCACGTTTAAGCTTGATCAGCTGTTGTTAGAATTTATTTAATATTCATTTCTAGTATCAGCTGAGGTTTGCTGGAGCCACAGCTGGTCATGATATCGGTTTGGTTATCTGGTGAGAGGGAAACAAGAAGATGAAACCAGGAGATGTCCTTACTGAATCATCAGAGCTGAACAGGTGATGGAGAAACAGGTTTACCTTTTAGGTGACATGAATGAGTTGAAGGGAAGTTATGAACTGTTTCTGAGAGACAAAAAACACCAATGTCATTTTCTAAATAGCTGACAGCTGGTAACTGTGCAGGGGCGGGTCTAGCAAAGTTTTGCCAGGGGGCCAGGTGGGGCATTAACAGGGAAAGGGGGGCACAAAGAAATACTTTCTTATTTTCATTTAAAATGTCTGGCTGTTATTAAATAATTATCTGAATCTTACAACCAAAGTTTTTAGCTGGTGTAAAATGTATAGAAATCATACATATACCAACAAGACTGTACATCACTGTCACAATCGCGTTTGTTTTCACTCAAAGGCTTTATGGCTTTAATACCTGGTGGGCCGGTCTGTAGTCAAAATGCCCGGGCTGTTTTTTTTGTCCCAGTTCAGCCCTGGGCACGACACGCAGTGAATTAATCTGAGAAGGTGCATCAAAAAATAAATGGCCGCGCCAGCGGTGCACATCGCAAATCAGCTCGCATAGACACATTAGTTGTGCCTCTTCTTAATGACGGTATCTTAACTAACAACCCCAAGTACCAGATTCAACTTGTAATTGGCTAAAAATAACTTAGCCTACTGGTAAGAGGGGCGTTGTTAGCTTTCCATATTCCGATACTTCAAAAGCTTCAGGAGCTGTCCGCTCAGCGCAGCATCAGCACCATGGAAATACACGGATACATCCGTAGACTCGAGACACAATGCATTTTTGGGACTTTCAGGTGTATGGACCAATGTTTTATTTTCTGATCAAACCAGAAATCTTTAATGAGCAGCTAGATTTGTCTCGCATTAACTGGCTGAGTTAATGCCAGTTAATGCAACATTGAAGCAGCTGGAATCCACAGCTGTGCGTGTTCATGGAGCTTGCATTTTCACCTGCTGGACATCACTACCTGAAGTTTAACTGTCTTCAGAACATTGCAGAGGCCTTGACAGTATTTGACTCTACATATCTGTGTGAGCAGATTTTCTCTCACATGAGTGTCCTCAGGTAGCCGTCTGAATGCTGGACACTTGGAGACCTGTGTCTCTGAGTGGGAGACCAGAGATCATATTAACATGTGTGTCTCTGTACTAACAGACATGCCATATTGGCTTAGTTTATTTCTCTTATCATTCTTGTGAGGAGACCATAAATAGCATTTGCGTTTTCTGTTGCACAGTCCATTTGCTGTTATGGAGTTACATAACAGCAAATGGACAAGAACGCTCAGGCTACGTCCACACGTACACGGGTATTTTTGAAAACGGAGATTTTCCATTTTCGTTTTAAAAAATAATCCCGTCCACACGGAAAGGCAGAAATGAAGGAAAATGCTGCTAGGAACATACCAAAGCAACAGGTGGCGATATATTCCTAACCGTGCAGAAATGTTGGTCAATCAGAAGTCTAGAAGCCTCGGTGGGAAAAAGTAAACAAAGCTGGACATAGAAGCAGAACCGAGTCGTATGTGTGGAGGGACAGTAACTGTGTGTGTATATGTAAGCATTTAAACACTGCAGAGAGTACAAGTAACAGTATTGTAGAAATTTATTTCACCGAAACAATAACGTGGCGCACAGTGTTACGTCAAAAAATGCGCACACCTTTGACGCTGCGTTTTCTCCGTTTTCTCCGTTTTTCTCGTCCACACGTAAATGCAAAAATGGAGTTTTCAAAAATATCCACTCTGGACGGAGTTTTTAAAAATCTCAGTTTTCAGTGACCAAAAACGCTGTTTACGTGTGGACGAAAGGTGCAAACGCATAGAAAAATCTGCGTTTTCAAAAATACCCAGGTACGTGTGGACGTAACCTCAGGCTCTCTGTGAGCAATTTCTTAATCATTTTAGTGGAAAAGTTTTATTACTGAAGGCTTCACACTCTCACTCTCTTGTGCTTTAGGATGCATGTCCACCTTTTCTCACTTTGAGCTGTTATCACTCCTCACTCTTAAGGGAATAATTGAACAACTGAGAAACTCAAATTCTGTGCATGATATCCTTCCATCCCGAATTATCAAGGAAGGTTTTGAGGAAATTGGGCCTTGCATCTTATTCTTAATGAATTTATCATTGTTTGTGGGCTGTGTCCCGAGTGCCTTTAAACATGCGGCAGTGCACCCCATTCTTAAAAAAAGTAATTTCGATCAGAAAGACCCTGACAATTATAGGCCAATCTCGAAGCTTCCGTTTTTATCAAAAAATTTTAGAGAAAGCCTTCTTTCTCCAAATACAGGCTTACTTAGTTGCAAATAATATCACTGACAAATACCAGTCTGGCTTTAAGCCACACCATAGCACTGAAACGGCACTGCTAAGAGTCTATAATGATCTTCTTGTATTTGCTGACTCTGGTCACCTTGCCGTTTAAGTTTCATTGGATCTGTCTTCAGCCTTTGGCATCCCATATGGAAAAGAAATAGTAAAAACATATATGATTTACTCATGAAAGTGGCCACTTTCATGAGTAAATCATATATAAATCATATAAGGCTTACATGATTTACTCATGAAAGTGGCCACTTTCTCATTACTTTCATATATTTTTTTAGTAAGTATACAAAACATACAAGTTTCATTGTATAATTTTTCAAGGGATCTTATATATGTTTTCACTCTTGTATTCTTTTCATACAAGTTTCATACAAGACAGATAAAAACGTTATAAGATTTATATATATCTTTTCCATATGGGATGGTTGATCATAATATACTCTTGAGGAGGCTAGAGCATGTTGTAGGCATCAAGTGTTCTGCCCTTAACTGGTTTAATTCTTACCTCACAAATAGATCCTTCTCTGTTGTGATGGGAGGATACTCTTCCTCTGTTGTCCCTCTCTGCTGTGGTGTGCCCCAGGGGGTCTGTATTGGGCCCTTTATTATTCTCTTTGTATATGCTACCCTTGGGCTCCATATGTGAAAAATACAATATTTCTTATCACTTTTACGCTGATGACATTCAAATCTATTGTCAACTGGCTGATGATTTATCAGCATCACTGAACTCCTGTACGATTGCCTGAGAGAGGTTAAAGATTGGCTGTCAGAAAATTCTCTCATTTTAAATGAGAGAAAAACTGAAGTTATGGTGTTCGACCACCATATTCCTCGAGACCAGCTTGTTGCCCTGCTGGGGCCCCTAGCTAACTCTCTCTCTCTCTCTCTGATTCTATGCGTAACCTGGGTGTCTATTTGGATAGCTCCTTTAAGCTCGATAAGCAAGTATCATCTGGAGTTAAATCTGTTTTTTTTTTTCAACTGCGCCAGATTTCTAAAGCTAAGCATTATATACCACACAGGGACCTGGAAAAACTTATCCACGCTTTTGTGACCTCCGGGTGAGATTATTGTAATTCTACTGTGGTCTCCAAGCCTTCTCTCTTCGATGGCTGCAACTTGTTCAGAATGCTGCGGCTCGCCTTCTTACTGGAACTAGAAAATTTGACCCTATTACTCTGGCTCTTGTTGATCTACACTGGTTACCAATCAAATATTGCATTGAGTTTAAAATCTTGCTACTCACTTTTAAAATCCTGAATAACATTGCGCCCAGCTATCTCACTGACCTCCTCAATTTGTACACTCCTTGTCGTGCATTAAGATCATCAGGTCAATTACTCCTGGCCCAACCTAAGTTCAGACTGAAGACCAGAGGCGATCGTGCCTTTGCTTCAGCTGCACCCAACCTTTGGAATAGCCTCCCTGCTTCTATTCGAGCCTTGGACTCTATCCAATCCTTTAAATCAAGATTAAAAGCATATTTATTTGACTTTGCTTTCCTGACCAGTTAATACCCTTTTAAATCCTTTAAATTTTAAACTTTTAAATCTTTTATTAAATTTATTATTTTTTATTAATTTTACTGCTGTTTTTGTCTTCTTAGCAGATTTTGTATTTATCTAACTCTCCTGGTCTGTTAGTGCCTCTATCCTGTCTGTGCTAGTGCCCAATTTGTACCCTTTTATTGACTTATGTTGACTCTACATATTACTGTGAAGCACTTTGGTGTGCCTTCGGGTTTTTAAATGTGCTATATAAATAAAATTGTATTGTATAGTATTGTTATGGATAAAAAGTGTTTTTTTTTTTTGTTTCAAAATAGCTGATAACTATTTGCTGATAGCTGCAAACATCTGCGAACAAATATAATTCTATAAAGTGGTTCTATATAGTGTGTAACTGTTAATATAGAGTGTTATTAAATTTATTGCTAATGCAATCATATCACTCTCTGAACACCTAAATTGCTCACTTGTTCGCTTGCTCACTTTCAGGAAAACATTCTCCTTGTACAATTTAGTGTCTTTGATCTACATGTTCCTCCTCCTATGAGTTTCCCTAAAGCTAATTTGCCTTCTCTGTGCTTTTGCCTTTTCTGTCCATTTGAAATTCCTTCTCTCCCTCTGTGTATTTCAATGTTGCTCCCTTTATGTGTTTGTAGGAGTTATGTCTGCACCCCAGTCCATCACTACCTGAGGTAAAAACCCAGTTGTCTGTGAACAAGGTGGATGACAGTGCCAGTTACATGCATACATGATCATAGTGTCATCATTGACATTCTGAAAGCAAGAATGCTTAAGTAAAACAGCTGCCCTGCATTCTCATCATACATACTATGTTGCAGGCTTTCTGTTCATCCAACAAGTCCAGTTCCATGTTTTCCATCCACCTCTTAACATGAGTGTAGTGCAATGTGTTGAGCACAAGGAATACACTTGCAGGATGATGGCATTTTAAAAACCTGGGATAAAGTTTGTCCTTAACTGTGTTGTGATCAGATTGGCTTCCTGACATTAATGACACTGAAATATATAATTTCCCATTATTATAATCTAAATGGTTCAGTGTAGGTCATACACTTTGAACAGTGTATGCTTCCAGCCATTTCAAAGCCGCGTATTAAACACAAATTGACAAAAAAATCATAGGATGTCAAAGCATGGTAATGTAGCCATGCTTGGCCAGTTGAGGCATATTCATGAATGAGCTGTCTCCACAGTATACTGTGATAAATTTAGCTTGTTGTTGAAAGCTCCATTGCACCTTCGTCATACAGTAAATTATTTTGCATGTAGGTACTCTGTCTGCCATGATGTAAACTAGAGTCAGTGTTGGGGAGTAACGGAATACATGTACCGGCATTACGTATTTAAAATACAAAATATGAGTAACTGTATGCCGTTACAGTTACTGTTTTAAATGGTGATATTCAGAATATAGTTACTATTCTGCCCTCACTAGGGTGTGAAGCTGGTTTCTAGCTTGGCAGAAGCTTGGCAGATAGCTAACAGGTCCACAATAAACATCCAGGAGTCAGCGGATAGGTTTTAGATGTTTACTGTAGAAGCACTGTAAAACTGGTACGGAAACAAAAATAAAATATTACATTTCTGCTGTAATTGCATTTTCTTTACAACATCAAACATCAAGCCATGAATTACAATGTATATAACACATAAACACGAGCATATCTAGACTTCACTGTTTATTAGGCCCACGCATTTAGCTATTAGCTTAATGCTAACATTACACAGGAAATCCCATAGACGGGCTAGCGTGTTAGCATCACGGCCGTTTTTCCTCACAAAAGAAAGTTTCTCACACAAAACTCTAAACTGCTACACAAAACTAACGCTGGAAAGCTTACAAAATAGATAGCAACTACTTACAGGCATGTGCTCTCTCAGGCTCAGCAAGAAAAAGCAAACGAACAGTGGAACAGACAACAGTTTGGCTAAAGGACTGTTTTTCCCTGGCAAGTCGGCTGGTACAAAAAACACACACCCAAATTATCATGCCTGCCTTAAAGGGGCAGCACACTCCCTGCCTGGTATAGAGTACTATACCACTATGTCCCTCTTAGTAACAACACAACTTCAGTGGTGGGTCTCGAATACACCCTGGGGGTGCTTCCTTGAACAACTCTACCCTCCACTTTCCAGACCCTGCTGTCTTGACCCGGAAAGGTATTTACCGCAAGTCCTGTGGGCCATTGATTTCGTTTAACCTCTTTTTCCTTTAGGAGCACAACATCTCCAACTTGCAGGCTGGCTTGTTCTGCTTGCCATTTCCTTCTCGGCTGGAGTGTCATCAGGTACTCTTGACGCCATCTTTTCCAGAAGGAATCCACAAGGCTTTGAACTTGCTTCCACTGACTTTGGTAGAGATCCTTGAGGTCAATGTCTTCCAAAGGAGCAGACACAGAGTCCACCTTTTGTGTTAAAAGCATAGCAGGGGTGAGTATGGTTGGGATGTCTGGATTGGAAGACACGGGGACTATTGGCCGGGCATTCATGATAGCTGCGACCTCTGCCATCAGCGTGGTGAGCACTTTGTGTGAAAGACTAGGGGAATGCATCTTGAGCAACATACTATCCAAAATGCGGCAAGTCATCCCTATCATTTTTTCTCAAACCAACTTGGGTGAAAGGAGGAGATTGGGTCAACCAATCAGTAGGTAAGTTGGACATTTTTTGTTTTCCCAGACTTCCTCTTGCTCGAGTGCCTTCAGTGAGTCTCTCCAAGACATCCACTGTGCCACTTTTTCAGCAGGTATTGGGGTGTCCCAATCGCAATGCTCAGTGCATAGCTCTCTGACTATAGCCTTGCCCTGGACTATAATAGGAGCTGCAAACCCCAACGGGTCGAATATGTTGTTAACTGTGGAAGAAATACCTCTACGGGTAAACGGCTTCTCCTCCTGGGAGACAAGAAAGATAAAGCTGTCGGTTTGAAGGTGCCAGTTGAGACCTAAGCTTCTCTGCATAGGTAACGGATCCACACCTAGCTCTAGGTCTTTCAGCTCTTTAGCACGTTCCTCAGGTGGAAACGCCTCCACTACTACGTCGTGGTTGGAGGCTATCTTATATAGCCGTATGTTGGAATCAGCCAACATCTCCTTGGTTTCCTTCAGGTCTCGGATGGCGTTGTCATTGGTGGGGAAGGAAGCAAGACCACTGTCCACGTAGAAGTTATTTAGAACAAACTGTTTTGCCTCTGCACTGTGGTCTTCCTGTCCTTGCAGAGCTGCTCTTCTCAAGCTGTATATGCCAACAGCGGGAGAGGGGCTGTTGCCGAATACGTGCACGGTCATCCTATACTCCGTGATGCGCTTGGTGGGGTCATTGTCCTCGAACCAGAGGAAATGTAAGAAGTCTCTGTGATCATGGCAGACTTTGAAGCAATAGAACATCTGTTCTATGTCTGCTGCCACTGCTACAGGTTCCTTGCGGAAGCGGATGAAGACTCCTAAAAGTGAATTATTCAAGTCAGGGCCACTCAGCAGGATGTCATTCAGTGAGACACCATCATGCTTAGTGCTGGAGTCGAGCACTGCCCGTACTTGACCTGGTTTGCACGGATGATAAACTCCGAAGATTGGCAAATACCAGCACTCTTGTTCACCAGTGGGTGGTGGTACTGGTTCAGCATGACCTGCCTCAAAGATCTTCTTTCATGTCTGGCTTCTTCTCCAGCATGTGCCGTAATGTCAAAAGACTCTTGACTGCTTGGGCTCGGTATTTAGGGAGTTTGCGCCTTGGTTACCTGAAGGGTAGTGGTGCCACCCAACTATTCGAGTCGTCCATGAAGACCTCGTTGTCCATTATTTCCAGAAAGACTTTGTCTTCCACAGACATAGCAGGCTTGTTGTCGTGTGGCGTTTGCTGGAAGACCCCTTTACCAAGGCTGTCTTTCCCATCAAATAGGATTTCGGATGCGTTAGCTCCTGGAAACTGACGATGCTGCTCTGGAGTGTCAAGCTTCTCTTTGATAAGTAGACTGTTAGTGCAAGGGTCGAACAGAGATGTACGACCGTTACTCAGCACGTTGCACCGATAGACGTTTACAAACTCTTGTTTGTGGGCTTTTCCGAGACAAACCTCTCCCACAATCACCTATTCCAAGTCGAGATGCTGGGCGTAGGGGGCATCATGGGGTCCATTGTATCACTCTTGTGTGCCTGTGGTACATCTCGACCGAGCAAGATCAGGATGCTTGCTGATGGATCTATAGCCGGGATTTTATCCACAACCCGCTTGAAATGTGGATAATGTCTGACGATCTCAGGTGTGGGGATTTCAGACTTATCATCAGGGAGCCTGTCACATTCGATTAAGGTGGGGAGTAGTCTTACCATCTAATGACTCCATGATGAAATTGTTGGCTCAGCGCCCTGTTGTTTCAATAACTCCTGAGCAGGTCTTCAAGGTGTATGCTGCCGTGCCCTCTGTAACTCCAAAGAGCTCAAAAAACTCTGTTCTTGCCAAGGACTTATTGCTCTGCTCGTCGAGAACAATGTACGCCTTAACAGCTTTCTCCCTCTGGCCAGCTGGATAAACTCTGACAAGACAGATTTTGGAGCACAACTTTGCTCTGACGGTAGTCCCACAAATGTCTGTGCATTTTGCTGTGACAGCTTGAGGTGCTTCTTCTCCTTGCTCCCCGCCTTGCTCTCTTGTGGTTACAGGAGTCTCTGATATCCAGGGGGCAGGCCCTGGGTGTAGCGCAGTAAGGTGGTTCTCACTCTTGCACTCTCTGCACTGAACATTTTTGTGGCAGTCTTTCGCTGGATGAGTGAATGAAGCGCAGCACTTAAAGCAAATATTGTTCTCTTTAAGATAAGCTTTCCTTTCATCCAAAGATTTACTCCTAAACCCACGACAGTTACTTTGTTGAAATAAATAGATTACAGGGCGTTTTTTTCCTGTTTCATATTTTAGGCCTCTCTATTTTTGGACCCAAGCAAAACACTCATTAAGAGACTGTGTGTCTCAATCATGTCACCTCTACTTGTGGCCCGCATAAATGACGTGAAGAAATATTTGTAAAAATTATTATTCAAAAAATTATTCAATACGAAGGCGATAGGCAGAGTGTTTGAGGCATAGCCCTAAAGAATGTGTAGCGTCATGGGCAGTGTAGTCCGTGCTGCAGGGAGAATGGACTGTCATACCCGTTATGTGTCTGTGAGCGAGGGAGGGAGAAAAAGGAGAGTCGAAAGTACAAGTTGTCACCGAACAGAAACGGGAGATGGAAGCATGTAAATATAATAAAAACTGCTGCAGCCAAAAAAGAGTGCCTGACAAGCCCAGTTTTAAGTAAGCAATTAAGACTCAACTGTACACTGTGTTCGTATTTTCTTCCAAAACAATAAGTTCCAGCTTTTCAGCGCCTCTCTCTATCTCTCGCTAGCAAAGTTGACCCAGACAACAAAGTAAAGCTAGTTTTCGGCTACGAGCCCGACATGAACCTGACGTATTAGCCAGAGGTCCCTTTACTACGGTTCAGAACCACGGACCTGTTTTATATACGCGCAGAATAGTTTTATATTAACATTTAAAAATCTAGTTAGTATTGGTATGGCAAGTAACCTTCAGTAATAGTAAAAAATCACACAGCAATAGTACATTCATGTAGTTGTAAAAAAGCATGACAATATATTAAGCAATCCAAAGTATTCAGAATACTTTACTCTCATTGAGTAATGTAACGGAATACGTTATAAAATACATTTTGGTGCATGTATTCTGTAATCTGTAGTGTAATACATTTTAAAAGTAACCTTCCCAACACTGAATAGCGTATACAGCTAATTTTATGTGCTATGAATTATAAAATGCATACATACTGAATTTGTCACAATGGATACTCTACCTGTCCATTGGAATTGGTTTTGTCATTTGCTGAACTTACAGATTATTGTGACTATTGCATTGGTTTAAAAGTTGATGTTGATGATTCAGAATATATACACTATTTTAGGTTGTAAAATTAATGTTACAGTGGTTATAATTTGTCTTCTTTTTCCATTCTCTAGTAAGGAGCAGCAGAGGTCAGTGAAGACGATGTCGGTGTGGGAACAAAGGGCCAGCCAACTGAGAAAACAGAACCACGCAAGCTGTGAGGCGCTGTACAGTGAGCTAACTTCAGAAGAGCGACTGCACATAGCATCAGCCCTACACATGCGGCCAGACATGAAGACTCACCTTGACCGGCCGTTGGTTGTTGAGCCCCACAGTGGCAGCAGCCAGCACCACCACAAGAAGACTTGCTTGTCAGAGGAGGCTGACACTGCCTCGGACCCACCTCCCCCTGTGCCTCACCAGCCCCGCCATCAGCACTACCACCGAGACAGAGAACGAAAACAGGAAACTAATGATAATGGGAGACATCACATCCATCACAGCCGCTCCAAAAACCATGACAGCAGCCGGGACAAACGGGGGAAGAGTGAGAGGTCCCACAGCCGGGAGGGAGGCAGGAAGCACCGCCATCAGTGTTCAGTGGATGACAGTGGAGGTTGGGGGAACGTAGGCGAGAGAGATCACCACCATCATCATTCACACCGGCAGTCCCGAGGTGGCAACGGGACAGTGAGTAGTGGAGGGAGGGGAGAGCGAAGATCTCGCCACAAAGATGGACATTTGTCTAACAGGAATGGAGATAGGAATTCCAGAGGAGGCAGTGGTGCCAGTGGAGAGAGAAGAAGGCATCGCATTCATGGATCCAGGGGACACTCCACAGAATCTAATGACAGAGAGAAGACCCATAGTCAGAGGTAAAAACTATGGTTACATATGGTAATACTGTTGTTCTGTTCACTATTTGATTTCAACTACACAGTGACACTGACAGTGACACTATAAAAAGGCTGGAGCTTGGAATTTGAGCCCAAGGAGGTTACCTATAAGTGTTCAACGATAAATTTATAATATTTCATATCTACAATGAAAATGAGGGTAATTAACTCTGCTCCAAAAATTGGCTACCCTCTGCTACCCCTGGAGGCCATCACCGGATCTTCTTGTATCAAAAAAAAAAAAAAACAGGACCATTTGTTTAACCCGCTGCCCTCTGGTCGGCACAGGTCCCACACCTCCAGACTCACAACCTGCTTCTTCCCTGGGCAATTCGGCCTGATAACAAACACTATTCGCTCACACTCTGCCCCTGACCACTCATCTCACTCTGCCCCTGACAACTCACCTCACCAATATGAGCCATGGTTTGAGTAACCCTCATCACTCGAGCCACCCACACACAGACTCTAGTTAGACCAAGTTCTTTGCACTACTTCCAAGCACTTTGTTTTCCAATGTACGTCTCTCTTGTTTGAAATATATTCTACTAGTTTGTATATATTCCCTTTAATTTTATATATTTCTCCTGTTTATTATTAATTCCTGCTGTCTTACTATTTATATTTTATTGGCACAGTTGGCATGGAGCACACATAATTTAAAATAATTCAATAAAGAGGTGTTCTATTCTATTGTGGGAAAAAATAATAAGGCAGACACCCCCTTTTCTCAGTAATAAAGGTGAATTACATGGACACATTATGCCTAGTTATAGGCATAATGTGTGAACCAGAGTTTCCTTGAGTCTCAACCAGAACAAGGAACAATTCCTGCAGAAGTCACAACATTACACAGTACACAGTAGAGGAACTAAGATTATATCTCTTCTTTTGGCACAGGTTTGGCGATTCAGAGGGTGAGTCCTTGGCTATCACCCCCCAGCAAGGCTCTGGGGGCACTAGCTGGCCTCCTGACCATATAGAAGACTCAGATAACCAGAGGAATGTCAGACGAACTAGGCAAACCTCCATCCAGATTCCTCCTGTGACTATCACCTCCCCACCTGGAGAGACCACCCTAATACAAAGTCAGTACCTAACCTATTAACATATACAGTGGCTTGCAAAACTATTCGGCCCCCTTAAACTTTTCTATATTTTGTCACATTACAGCCACAAACATGAATCAGTTTTATTGGAATTCCACGTGAAAGACCAATACAAAGTGGTGTACACGTGAGAAGTGGAACGAAAATCATACATGATTCCAAACATTTTTTTACAAATAAATAACTGAAAAGTGAGGTGTGCGTAATTATTCAGCCCCCTGAGTCTTTACTTTGTGGAACCACCTTTTGCTGCAATTACAGCTAGGGATGGGTATCGTTTAGGTTTTATCCGATACCGGTGCCAAATCGGTACTTTTGAAACGGTGCCGGTGCTCAAACGGTGCTCAAACCGGTGCTTAAAGAATGGAGAACACAAAATTGGTCCAAAAACCTCTCATGTTCAGCTGTTTTTTGTAAAAATATAACAATGTTAGCCTTTTCTGCAGCTATGGGGCATATATGGTATCACTCTTGGCTGGAAGCAGTGCTTAAACAATGGAAAAAACACAAACTTTGTCCTAAACCTCTCATGTTTAACTGTTTTCCACTTTTTCTTTGGTCATTTTAGCCTTTTTAGCCAGGGTGAAGGGAGTATCTGCCATCAAACAAGAAGACAGCCGCATGTAGCTATGATGATGTTTGCTAGTTCACCTTACATGCATTAATGTAATAACGTGGTTAGCCTACTCAACGTAAATTAGCTACTCACGCAGAGAAGAACGGCTGCTGCCACCATCATCCGTCATCATTTCTGCTACACTGGCAGGGCTAGGGGCCAGGACTCTCCTCTTCGTGTTTTTGGGGGATGTTGCATAACAGGCAACCCGCCCGCAGTAGATGCGCTCGGTGCGAGGTCTCGCAGCAAGCTATCAAATACGGCGCATTTCTGGGCTTTTAAAAAAAACGCTATGCGTTGCCAGGTGTTTCATCGGATTTGAGGTGTTACCTCCTTTGACAGTATCACAGTATCAGCTTAAAGCACTTGTTGCAGGCTGCTGAGTTTGCATATTTTGCTATGAAGTACAGCCAGACTTTTGACCGCTTCGCCTTGGACATTTTTAATCTGTAGCTCTGCTCTAACAGAACGTACGTACCTGGCCCCGCCTACTATCCTCGGAAACGTAAAATGATTGGCTAGAATCTAAAGTGTATCACAGCTCAGGAAAAAAAAGCACCGAAATAAAGCACCGAAATGTGCGCTGCTTTTCGGTCTGGTTACTACCGTTTATGTCAGAACCGGTGCCATCATGGCACCGGACACCTCCGCCCCAGTCTCAAGTCTGTTGCAGACTCCAAGAGGTTTTCTTCCAAGATTGCCCTGTATTTGGCTCCATCCATCTTCCCATCAACTCTGACCAGCTTCCCTGTCCCTGCTGAAGAGACGCACCCCCAGAGCATGATGCTGCCACCACCATATTTGACAGTGGGGATGGTGTGTTCAGAGTGATGTGCAATGTTAGTTTTCCACCACACATAACGTTTTGCATTGTGGCCAAAACGTTCCATTTTGGTCTCATCTGACCAGAGCATCTTCTTCCACATGTTTGCTGTGTCCCCCACATGGCTTGTGGCAAACTGCAAACAGGACTTCTTATGGTTTTCTGTTAACAACGGCTTTCTTCTTGCCCCTCTTCCATAAAGGCCAACTTTGTGCAGTGCATGACTAATAGTTGTCCTATGGACAGATTCCCCCATCTGAGCTGTAGATCTCTGCAGCTCGTCCAGAGTCACCATGGGCCTCTTAGCTGCATTTTTGATCAGTGCTCTCCTTGTTCGTCCTGTGAGTTTAGGTGGACGGCCTTGTCTTGGTAGGCTTACAGTTGTGCCATACTCCTTCCATTTCTGAATGATCGCTTGAAAAGTGCTCCATGGGATGTTCAAGCCTTAGGAAATCTTTTTGTAGCCTAAGCCTGCTTTCAATTTCTCAATAATTTTATCCCTGACCTGTCTGGTGTGTTCTTTGGACTTCATGGTGTTGTTGCTCCCAATATTCTCTTAGACAACCTCTGAGGCTGTCACAGAGCAGCTGTCTATGGGCAACTGACTGCACTCAGACCAAAGGGGGCTGAATAATTACAAACACCTCACTTTTCAGTTATTTACTTGTAAAAAATGTTTGGAATCATGTATGATTTTCGTTCCACTTCTCATGTGTACACAGCTTTGTATTGGTCTTTCACGTGGAATTCCAATAAAATTGATTCATGTTTGTGGCTGTAATGTGACAAAATGTGGAAAAGTTCAAGGGGGCCGAATACTTTTGCAAGCCACTGTATATGATTAAGTTTAGTTCAGTTGTTACCAATGCTAATTTTGTATGGTTCTTTGTGGGCTTTTAAATCTGATTTTAAAAATACCACAACATCCCCAGGAAACTAAACAAAAGTCCCTGTCAGATGTAGCTCTTCCAGGGGTTGTGTCTTTGAAATTAATATTAGCTCTGGCTCTTTATGGCTTGAAGCTCTCTTGGAAGTAGTTTTGTTGCACAGGAGGAGCCCACAATGAAATGGTTTAGTTTTCACAGTTGAAGGATATTAGCTACATATTCTTTCTTAACTCTTGTCACTGATTTTGAGTGTTAAAGAGACAAGAAATAAGCCAGAAAATGAAATGAAAAGAAATCTGAAATGTGAACAAATAAATTAACGTGGGTATTTAGCTGATTTCTTTTTGTTTTAGTGAAGAACTCTAAAATAGTGTGATACGCAGTACACTTGGTATCATACACGAGAAAAAGAAACTCAACTTTAAATTCAGTTTGCTTTTATTTATATAGAGCCAAATCACAACAAGTGTTACCTCAAGGAGTTTTATATTGTAGGGGGATAGATCCTACAATAACATACAGAAGCTCAGGGACATCTCAAGCCCTCCAAGGTATAGAGGCCTATCTTCCCCCACCACTCCCCCTGCCAGTGACAGACGCATTGGTGGTTCTTTGTGTCCGGGGATGGACGTCCAGGCACGCACCGGCTCACTCCTGGTGGCTGCTTGTTGGGGCCTGGAGCCTGGGGCTCGCTCAGGCCCCTTCGGGGGTGGGGTACCCTCAGCCTCTAGGCCTGGGGTTCGGCCACGCTGGCACAGCTGGCTGCCGGCGGAGCTCACGAGCCCGTCACTGCAACCCCCCCTGGCTTCTGCTCCGTGGCTGCTGAGTGACTCCTCATCTGGGGCTCTCCTCAGCTCTTTCCAGGAGAGTGGCATGGTTGCCCCTACATTGATCTTCCTCGGTCTCTTGTGCTCTGAGGGCCTCTGGATGTCTGGAGCCTGGATCTCCTCCATACCTGCTTCATGCCCTGGAGGATGGGGCTATGGCCCCCCACACCCTCTAGCAGATCATTACATGAAGGAACCTTTTAAATACAAGCGCGCTCATGCTCACAGGTGTACACACGGGTGCTCACAGACACAAACTACACCCTTTTTGGCCTCTACCTCAAAGCACACTGTGCGCTGTCAATCCTATGTGCTGCAATAATATTCAATATTTAGTATTTACTGTTATATTCACATAGATCATCGCGATGATGTTGTTTATTATATTGCTCTCTTTTTTTGCTTGTTTTCTCTTTTCTTTCTCAACAGGTGATCCAGGTGATGTATTTTTTAGTGCTGTCAATAGATTTAAAAAAATTAACTAACTAATCTCACAATTTTCTGTCATTAATTGCGATTAATCACAATTACTTGATTAATAGCCAGGCTCCAATTACATTTTTTTATTCTTTATATTTTAAGATTGTAACAGACATTTATGCAACACAATGAAGTAAATGCTGAATAAACACAAAGAATGTATGCTGAAATTCAAAGAGAATTTTAATAGTTTTCATCAATCTTTAACACAGTGAAAACTTACAAAAAACCTTTAAGGCCATCAACAGTGACCGAACCCAGGCCTACAGGTTAAAGTGAATATTATAACAATAAAGGGTCCACAAAACTCAGTATTTAAAACACAAAAAGACACGGCTGAAAACCCAGAATGTTGAACATTTTTCACTTCAAAGGAGCGATCTGGCTTAGTCCTTCTTTGCTCTCAGCCAGTTACTGAGGCAGACTATTCTGTTTACATTGTCTGATGACAAAGAAGCACGCTTCTTTTGAATGATGTGACCTGAGAGTGAGAATAATCTCTCACAAGGCACTGTAGTTGCAGGGGTTGACAGGTACTTGCGTGCAATAGGTGCCAGCCTGGCATGTGCTCCTTCTCTCTTTAACCACCACTGTAGTGGACACTCTCCTATGTCAATTTTGGGCTCTGCTTTGTACAGATTCAGACAGCAGTCTATAGCATCATCCTCTTCCTCTGTATCTGAATTAGGAGAACCCAGCAAGCAGATGGACATCTTGCTCTTCTTTGGTGAGAGTTCCTCTGTTGTCTGAGCAGATGGTTGGTGTGCATCCGTCTCTGACATCAGAAGGTCATGTACTGATGCCCACACCTCTCTTCTTTCATCTTTGGAAAGGAATTTAAGGTCTTTAAACCTGGGATCAAGGGCAGTAGCGATCTTCAGCCATGTGAGATTGCTGCTGTCCCTCCGCTGAGCTAGGTCTGTGGTAAAAACCTTCTTAAACCTCAAAACGTAGACATATATATATATATATATATATATATAGATATATATATATAGATATATAGATATATATATATATATATATATATATATATATATATATCGGAGATCTCTGTCCAGAAGAGCGCAGTCCTGGGAACAGCTAAGATACTGCGCAGGACCCTCAAGCTCCCAGGCCTCTGGTAGAGGACCCGAGCTTGAAGGATAAACCGCCCGCAGGGGCGTGCTGGGTGTTTATGTTTACACACATATATATATATATATATATATATATATATATATATATATATATATATATATATATATTTATATTACCTTCACCCTCCACATCCTCTCGAGCTCTTCTCTGAGCCCTTGGTATTTCTCCAGCTTCTCGTGTTCCTTCTTCCTGATATTGCTGTCATT